CAGCCCCGCAGGAGCCTGGCTGGAATCTGCCCCCATAGTTGGGGCTGCGGAAAGTTCTGTGGCAGCATCTGCTCCTCCAGAAGTCTCCTGCTCTGCCATTGCTTCACTTAAGGGAGGGGGAAACCAATAAAAGAAAACAAAAAATACAGCAGGGATAATGAATTCAATAGGGGCAGGCTGGAGCTGTGTGGGAAGTGAGTGGAGGGAAAGGGGAAAGGGGGCTGAAGCTTACTGAGCTACAGCCCCACAGGAAACCAGGCAGGCTATGCTGGGGAAGGTGGGGGAGGGGGACACACACACACAAGGGCTGGGGAGACTCGAGCTGGCTAACTCAGCCACACAAACACCAGGCAGCTCACACAGGCTCACGTTACACTGTTGGAATCCCTCACGTCCTCCAACTTCTTACTCAGCCGGGTGACCTTTTCCCAGAGCTGGGCATTCTCTTCAGCCCCTAACCGCAGGCACATGGCCAGCAGCCATGACAGGCACCCCTTCTTGGGTTTACCCCGGGCGGCAGCAGCAAACCTAGCCCAGTAATCGGGTACGGTTCCCAGGTCCACAGGACTTACCACACAAGGGCAAAACACACAGGGGAGGCTGCTGAGGCAGGTGTAAAAAGATGGCTGGAGTATTGGAGGGGCTTTGTTTGTTGAAGCTCAGTCCAGGAGCCCCTCAGGCCTCCAGCCAGGCACTTGACAGCAGGCAGGAAACAAAGCACAGGATCAGATGCAGTGAGGCATCTGTCAGTGAGTGCAGGAGCAAACAGTCAATTAGGGAAGTTATCCAGTGCAGGTGCGGTGCAAGGTGATGCAGTGGGGAATCCCCCTCTCTCCTGAGAGGGGACAGCAGCAGTATAGGTGGCAGCAGCAGCTGTGGCAGCAGCCGTCCAGGTCAGCCACTCAAGGCATGCTTCCGGTGAAAGGGAAGGTGAAGGTTGGGGGGCTGGGAAGGGGGCAAGAGATGGCCTGTTGAGGCAGCTGGGGCAGGCAAGGCACCCTTAGGTGCTGGCAATGATGGTGGGGGGGAGCTACCCACAGGCAGTGCAGGCCCCCTCCCCAGGCTGTCTCTTTACCACGGTTTGGTGGCAGGCTGGGCAGCAGACCAGAACAGGAGTGCAGAAGCTGGGGCGAGGTGCAGTGCAATGCGGTTGCCCTTCCTCCCCCAAGTGGGGTGGGCAGTGGCATGTGGTGTGCTGCAGAGGACCCCCCCCCCGTGAGGGTGGGGGGTGACAACAGCAGCAGCCCAAGGCAGGAAGGGGCACGGCCAACTTTGCCTCAAAAGCTCCTGAGAGCAAGCCAACAGCAGCAGTAGCCAGAGGCAGGAAGGGGCATGGCCATCTTTACCTCGGAAGCTCCTAAGAGCAAGCTAGCAGTAGCAGCAGAAGCAACAGCAGCAGCAGCAGCAGCCTGGGACAG